TTTTTGCCTTTTCGTTTCTTTTTGGTAATCGACTCCGTGATGTCATGATCCAATCTGTACAACACAAGCATTTAAAAAGCCACGAGTTGTATTATCTCACAACAGGTTATAACTATTGTTTCAATTTAAATAAATATAAGGTTTTACTGCAGGTGGGGCACAACGATTCACGGCACATTTTGGGCGTGCGCGCTAATCTCGGTGATTGCCGTTTTGTGGAGTTTGAAACTTGATATTTTTAGAAACAAAATGTGATATACATGCAAATCCTGGATATACGACGAGACCGATAACCGACGGATCAGTTGGCGTACATGTAGTGTAAGCGTAAGGGTAAGGGTAAGAGTAAGAGTAAGAGTAAGGGTAAGAGTAAGAGTAAGGGTAAGAGTAAGATAAGAGTACCCCAACAAGACTTGCAATATCAGATCGGGAATCCAATGTCCGCTATCCCCAGTGTGGGCCCTTTTTTTTTTTTTTCTCTTTTTTTTTTTTTTTCCTTGTCTTTTTTTCCTTTCTTCTTCATCGTGTGACGTGGGCGTGTAACAACACATGAAACAGGGCGTCGGTCTATGTGATTGCTACACGACGAGTCGGGTATGCGAACAGTATTCGTTAAATATGTTGAGCAAGCATATGTTTCTAAACTTTCCTGTGTTAATTTGTAATCACCATTTTTGTGATGCATCAGAATGGACCAACAAATAAACGGCCATGCTGTATTTTGTTTTATAATGTGGCCACAAACCACACTTGGTTCTGCATGACAGTTATTAAAGGCTAAATACGCGACAAGTTTGTTGATCCTTGGTCATGTAAGTAGATTCTACGCGTGACCGAGAACTTTATTCGAAAGAAAGCAACAGCGGACAAAAGCAACAACGATCCCGAACCTGGACTGAACAAGCAAAGGTGTACGACAAACTGTATAACGCTGTGTTCACAACAGTGATGACCACGATTCCCTGTTAATGATATTGATCGTGTAATACACTCAATTTATGTGGTCCAGACTGTCATCTATAGATAGTTTTGGTGCAATGTTGCTACTATCAAATGCATCGATTATTGCCTTGCTTATGTCATCAATTTCCATGCTTGTCTTGCTCGAATTATCCCACATCCACATTCTCAAACTGACTTTCTCGTTCTCAATCACATTTTTTGCCAACAAGAGCACCCGTACGCTTCATCCCATCAACCAAAACAAACAGACGATCTCTCAGTAATACATCAATGACTATATTATTGTGCGATTGTTGGCTTGTTTGTTATTTGGTATGTTTGTTGTTTTATAATAATTATGATGCAGGTACAACGTCTACACAGATGGAAGCTGAGGATTCCAGACTTGAGAAATTAGAGCAAGCATGCGTTTGAACATGGACGGTTTCAACAACAGGTATGAGAACAATATATATTTTCTAATTAATTAATTAATTAATTAGCATGACAACTGGACAGAAATGGTGTAGTTGATTTGACCAAAATAACATTACGCAAGCGATTATTATTTATATAAATATCATTCTATATATGTATCATTTAGTGTTTACATTATTAGAGTTGTTATGACCCTCGTCAGACTAACCCTCTTGTCACCGACCCTCCATTCTTAATCCCAATTCATCAGCATCAACCTTGTTGTTGGGTTCACAACAAGCAAGTATACGCAATAAACAGCAACAACACAATACAACATAAACAACATAAACAACAATACAACAACAATAACACTAATAAAACAACATTGATAACAGCGACAACAAGAGCAGCAATAAGCGTGGCAACAAGACCGATTAACTCTCGAGAACGGATAAATTCCCAATCATGTCAGTTCGACCAAGGCAAACTATGCAGCATAATAATTATACAAGACTATTCGTTTGATTATTATGTTGTGGTTTCCTAATATGGTAAATACCAATTTACCTGATATGGCCGACAGCCCAACACATGCTTCCCACCGGTGACACATTCAGTTAGTGAGATTGTCTAATATGCGAAAGGTAATTTATCGAATATCGAACATCGATCGTAAAACTGCGATATTATCGATATTATCGTTATTATCGTTATATTATCGCCAAACTGCTGGTAAGATATAACCACTATGGCGTTGGTTTTTTCTTTTTCATTTCTTTTTCCCTTGGCTCGGTTTACGTATTCCATTAACCCGTTTCCTCCCCTCCCCCTCCCCATCCCCGATAGGCCCCCGGCCCCAAGTAAACAACAAACCGATGACGACGACAAACAAATGTGACATATGATAATGCTGTTCGATGTTTATAACTTTCATCAGTTATGGTCATATTGATAGATGCAGTCAAATGAGACACAACAGTAAATACATTTTATGCAGTTGCAACACACATGTGCATCAGTTCTATTGCGAAGCGTTGATTTCTAACAAATAACCAGTGCTTGTTATTTATAGATATTATATATAGATGTTGATGTTTTATATAGATTACGTTTCCCAACTCTATTTCGTTGGCTCTGTGAACAATACTAATGAGTATAGAGCTATTTTCGTATACGATTGCAGTTTCACATCTAATGTACGCGATCAAGGGTAATAATCGAAATATCATGCGCAGTGTATGACGACAACCACAACATTGCATGAGTGTGGAGATGAAAGAAACGTTTAAATTATGGATGGCGCAGTTGTCAGTTTGCACGAGGATGTCATGGTTAGCAGGGGGTGGGTTGAGCCAATACAACACTGCAACAAGTCAATACAACACTGCAACAAGTCAATACAACGCTGCAATAAGCCAATACAACACTACAACAAGCCAATACAACACTACAATAAGCCAATACAACACTACAATAAGCCAATACACCACTGCAATAAGCCAATACAACACTACAATAAGCCAATACACCACTGCAATAGCCAATACAACACTGCAATAACACAATACAACACTGCAATAAGCCATACGATAATCTTGCTAGGCTATGTTGTTTGGGTTTCAAGTATAATTAGTTTATTATTCAATTGCATTCTATATGAATTTAGTATTTATTTGTTTCTATTATAGTCTCTTCAATTTGAGTGGTTCGCTCTTGCATAAAAATATGGTTTTAACTAATAAATGACAGGGAAATAATAAATAATTTAAAGATAAACAGGAAAAGCATACAGAAAGTAAAGTAACTGGATATGGCAATAGCCAATAGCATAATATATCTACGTAGCCAATGGCGCATATTTATATAGTGTTAATGTTAGTTTATATATTTACATTAACTCCGTATAAAAACCCCCCACTTTAATTTTATGCATCCATATTTGTATTCATTGATTTAATAATGCTGGCAAACAATTGATGTAATAAATCTCTTCAGTAGGAAAAATTGAATGAAAGAGGGGGGAAGGAAGGGGGGAGGGTCGGAGGATGTTGAAGGGAAAGTCAAATCCTATTACTGTATATGTTATGTATGGTATGTTATGTATGTTATGTATGTTATGTATGATATGTTATGTATGGTATGTATGTATATGTGTGTATATGTTGTATATGTGTATATGTTGTATATGTTGTATATGTTGTGTATGTTGTGTATGTTGTGTATGTTGTATATGTGTATATGTGTATGTATATCAAATATTGTATAATTTAACCGTAAATGAAATCAATCAATCACCCTTGAATTTTTGCACAATAAAATAATCACAATGAAAATAAGTAATCATGCTATGTGGTATCATTAATATAACTAATAATAGTAAATATATGATATCATAACTTACATTTCACTCACCAGTTCGTCCACTTTCCAACTCATCGCCACTCTGTGACCTGTCACCATTTTCCATATCCATATTAATCTTACCATACTCATCCATCTCGGTCTTGTTATACAACACTCCTTCTAATGCTCACATTGTACCGCCATCATCCACACGGAAACCAACGATCAGAAACACTTTATTAAAAAAAATATACACACTGCATTAAAAGATATATTCATTCCATCACCAATTAGATTACCCAATTCCCACTATTATCGTAGTCTTACCAACACAACCACGCAGACCAAATTTTTACTCTAAACTTTCCCCCCCTCAAATTCCAACCAAAATTCCCGACACAAGCCCTCAACCCCCCCCAACCCCCAACCCCCAACCCCGATACCCCTCACCCCAAAAACAGTGCATATATCCTTGCCCTTCCCCCCGCTGCACCCTTTCCATTCACACACGCTCACACACACCCGAACCTTTTCTTCGCTCACACACACCCAACGCGATATTTAACGATAAATGGGGAGATACTAAAACTATAATAACAACTTTCATGCTTGTATCTCTTCTCACTTTCATTCAATAACGACCTTGTGTCTGCTGCGCGCGCCGCGATAACAAACTTTTCAGACTGTGGTGGTCTGTGTGTTAACATTGAATATTCTCTCCGCTATATATTATCTAACGAAAGACACAAAGAGATAAATATTTTATCTCGAACGCAAAAAAAACGAAACCCCCCTCCGAAATATATCATTCGATTAATATCGAAACAACAGCCGAGGAAAAAAGCATTCTGAACCCCCATTGAGACGACAGTATATACTACGGTTGTAAAAAAAGAAAAAGAAACCTACTTGAGACGGTGAAAAAACCAAATCTCGGACAGCATACTTTCCACACAAAGAAAGACGAACATTTCCACCTCTCAACAACTTTCAATCCCCCAACATTACTCTTGTATAAAGCAACTTGCAACTACAACGAGGATATTCAGATAATTAACTTTATTAACACACAGACACCACTATACTCATCTTTCCCATTCAGACGAGCACTATTATTGTATTATTTTTTTTTACACTCTCCCAAAGCAGTACAGCACTCTTCTTCAAAACTGTTATATTTGCACAAATCAACCTTTTAAGAATAAAAAACATTATATCCAGCTTACTCTCAGCAGGCTATCTCCTCCCTTTCTTCGACTCCCCCCTTTTTTCAACCACTCGTATCAATCACAAATATGACAGACCTAGCACGAAACCAGCTTACAACAGGAATAATACCTTCTCAAGCAGCTGATATTTTACCTTATGGAGTGTTTGATGGAAGTCACATTCCAAACTGCTCAGAAGGTGACCAGCATACATATCCAGAAGAGAGTGGGAAATATGATTTAGATACCGTGTCTGTATTTGTTGCCAAGTTATATCAGTAAGTATTGATCCGTCGTTCAGATCAAGCGTCACCCATCGCTATTTGCTAACTGTCTGCTGTAATCATGCCTTTTCGTTTCAAAGACTTCTCGACGGCGATGAGTATAAAGAGTATCTCACTTGGAATGACAGCGGAGACGTATTTGTGATATGCAACATGGATGAATTCGCAGCAAACGTGTTACCAAAGTTTTTCAAGCATTGCAAATTTACTTCTTTTGTGAGGCAATTGAATGTAAGGATTGAATACAAGTTTTTTTTTTCCTTCGTTTTGTTGATAACAGTACCCAAAATTATTACCATCCAAACTCTGCTTTACTTGGACATTACTGACTTTTATTCCCTCTTTCTACTTAGATCTATGGTTTCTATCGCGTATCTGACGCCCGAAAATCAAAACATGTACGCTCAAAGCACGCTTGCGTCTTTTCCCATCCCCAGTTTCGTCGTGGTCGACAGGACCTGCTTCCTCATATCCGTCGCCGAGTCTCAAAACCTACACGCCGGCGCCCACCGCGAACCAACGAAACAGATACGTCTTTCGGAGTTACAACAGGACCCAAAAGCAGCGCAAGCAAGGAGAGTAGTATGACGTGTTCCTTTAATAGTGAGAATGGAAAAGATAAAGAGCGAGCAGGAGAAGAAGGACAGATGAGGGAAAGGATAAAGGACTTGCAGGAAGTTACGGAAAACTTGAGGAAAGATTTGAAACAAATGAACAGTATTGTTTCGGATAAGTTATTGCCAGAGGTGAAGAATCTTGCCGATGGTTTACATAGGCATCAGCAGCATTTGGTGGCCTTGACGCAGTTGGTGACTGGGAATTTTCCCGAAGGTAGGATTGTCGTCACATATATACTATTTGATCTCGATTTGTCACATATATACTATTTGATCTCGATTTGTCACATATATACTGTTTGATCGTTTGTTTCTCATTGTTATTCTTTTTTTCCTCATTCATAAGGTACCACAATACTGCACGAGGCCTTGCGTAATTTGAAACATACCCATCCAATACCGTCACCAACCCTTCACGATACACGGGCTAAGCGCCTACGCCTAGACACCACAATGGCCACCACTCCGACAATCAAGTCCGAGTCACCTCTGCAAACAAACCTCTCGACTGCAGCTTTATCCCCACCAATCCCTTACTCTATTTACACGTCCATGCCAGAAAGCTATAAAAACGACGACCTGCAGAATCAAAACCACAATGATCACAATCTAATGTCCAGCAATTCACCGTCGCTCGGAAACACTGGGATGGAAAACGCGGGTGCACCAATGACAATGGAGTCGCACGCATACAACCAGATGATTAGCGAATATCCGCAATTATCACCGCAACAAACCAACGCCGGTGCTCACCCAACCTTGGGTTATAGCGATTCCTGGGGATCAACCACGACAACGGTAATGCTTTCAGATACTTATGCGATGTTCCCACCTCAATCCAGCCACTCTCCTGTTCTCTATTCACCATCCCAACCAACTCCCGCTACGGCCGCATCAACAAGCCAGACCACACATTCTTCAACTTCGCCATCTCTCCAATCTAACCATATACAGCCGCATCGATCGCCTGTTCCGTCCAATTCTTCACCGCAGCTATCGTCTCAGTCGGTACACCAACAACAACCCTCGCCAACACCTACGATAGCGTTGTCGCCAACAGGGTTTGTAGATGCTTCACCTCGCAACGAACACTTGTTGAGTGCTCAGGGGAAGCGAGGAAGCATAAGTGGACATGCGTCACCCGGGCATGAAGATTTACATGTTGGGGCGCCGTCGCCTGCATCGCCCGTCTCATCACCTCCGGAAGGTATGTCGTATTACCAGGGTCCCACTATGGTACCAATAAACATGTATAATCCACACTACTCTGGTTATCCGTCGATGTGAGAAAGAACAGAGAATGGCGTGTAATGTCGGGTTGGAGCACAATTCAAGGAGTCTTTTCAAGAGCTGGTTGTACATAACGGGAAAATAATGGTTGTGGTTTTGTTTTATTGGCGATTATTGGTGTATTTTTTAATGATGGTGGTGCGCAAGGAACGGTTGGTACATATACATGTATATATATATATAATATATACTATGTTTGATTAGTTGGGAGAGAGTATCATTCAAGACACTGGACGTTTGGATAGCGCCAATGTTTTGTTATAAAACATTACTCAATTTTAAGAAGCTGGACCTTACTTTGAGTATATAGTCTTTTTTTCTTCTTCTTGCTTTACCCTTTTGTTCTCCTCCCAATCCAATATACTCTGCTACTCTTCCCACTAGTTTTTCCTTCTGGTCTAATTCCTCACTTTTCTACAAGACTAATTTTAACACAGGGTTTTGATTAGTAATAGCTTTCTCTCGTTCCACAAGTGTAAATTCATAATAATCTCTCAACTCTTTTTTTTTCTTTTCTTCTTTTTCTGTTTCTCTTTTTTTTTTATGACTACTTTGTCGTGAATTGTTCGTCTACCCCCATTTATCGCAATGACTGTGTGTGAACCGAAAAAAAAAGCCTTTGTAATGACCGCAGAAGTTATGATGTTATTTCTGCATAACGCATAAGCTGGAAAGCTGGAAAAAATTCTCTTACAATTTAATGAGGGGTTTTTTATTATCATGCTTTTTTTAGCTTTTCAACGTTTATTCTTCTCCCTTTCCACAATCTCGATTTCCCCCTCAAAAAAGGCAAATGACAAATGTAATGTGTGATTTCATGAAAAGGAAAAGAAAATGCCATGTGTGTGTTTGATGTTTCTTTTTCTTTTTCTTTTTCTATTTTTTCTTCATTTTTTGTCTTTTGTTGTTACACCTTTTTTGTACCATACACTGTAAAAATTGAGTGATAGCAGTTGTTTTTACTTGTTCTTGTATTTTTTTTTTTTTTACTTTTTCTTCTTTTTGTTGATTCACGTCTACTTTTTTTTTTTCTTGTCCTTTCCTCCTCCCATACAAATGCTATAAAGAAAAGGCCGATGGATGCATATTTTAATTGTATTCTTTTTATAGTGTTATATTCTTAATTCTTTTTCCTTCTTCCTTTTTTTGCTGTTTTCTTTTCGCTTTTTCTTTATACATATTGTCAGTAAAGGAGAGTCTTGTTCTGGTTTTTGAAACTACACAAATAATGGTTATTACTGTGGTTGACCTGGGGTAATGGCTAATGAATGGCTTTGGTATGTTATAATATATTATGTATTACGTAAGTTCGTAATGTCAATCTGCATATAAACGAATGGAACTCTAGGAGATGGAATGCCTAGCATAATAACATAACGCCGCCTCTCTCTTGTGTTAAATCGCATTACATAATAATTATTTGTTTGTTTAACCATTCTAATTTAGTTGCTTTTTACCTGTGTTACGGTTTATTTTGTTTATGTGTCAAGCTTAGCAGATTTGAGAACGAGGTTGATAGGATTATAGTTTATAAATAATAGGACACTGATTCAATGGATGCCTCAAGGCCGAACAATAAAAAGTTGATTTTTTCGAGTTATTGTGGAAACATCTAGCGATTGCTATACAAAATGCCTCTTACTACTCGCGACAACCAGCACATCGCGTCATTGTACCCTCGATTCTGTGTCACAGTTAAGACATGCACTCTCTTGTCATACTGACGACTAATTCATTTGTTCTTCATGACGTCTTTATAGTTCATACGTCGGCATTGTTATTATATTAGTAATCAAAGTTAATATTAAGTATCGATACAGATATAATGATGTAAATTAATGATTAAGATTATTTAACGTTCAAGCACAAAAATTTATTGTCAATCACCACGTTTTACTTGATTTTCATTATGTCTTTCCTATTTTCACTTTTGCATAAATTGACAAATGAATATGACTAGGAAAATCTTTTTTGATTGAGCAGTCGGTAATTTTGATAGCGCAGGTCTGACATCCCTTTTTCGTGGACGAGTATGAAGGAATCGCTATATACCAAATTTGGGGAAAAATAACCGTTGATAGGGTAACCATAATATATGTTTAATGAACTCGCAATTTTTTGAATACGTAATAGCAAGTAACTACAGAGAACCACGTGATAAACGATATTTAGTGTGTTCTCATCAGTACTAGTACCATATTTAGTAGTAGGTATTTTGCAATAGATTAGAGTGCTAAACTATATCCTTACCAAATTTAGTAACTCAAAACGTTACCAAATAAGGTACGCGCATCGCAATTGTAATTGGGGATATTTAAACATTTCTTACTGTGAAACTGTTTGCTCAAACTCTCGGACTACCATCTGCATTCTAGTCGTAAAGTCTGACTGCATGGGGCCATAAACAATGTCGGGAAGCACGCATCATCCGGCTGGTGCTGAAATGCTTCGAACCGAGCTCGAATGTTGCTACGTATTTTATTCAGCATCAAACACTCATTACCAATTTCATAAAACATTAGTCTCAAGATTTATGTTTTAATAAATAATATATCATATTTTCTTACATAGTCAAGGCAAACGTGCACGATTCTATTTCGGCATCTTGTTAACTCAACCATTTGACATACGTGGAAGCACATCGTATAATTCGAACCTTTGAATATAATCGTAAATAAGCCGTTGAATTACAAGTTTATTCAAAAAGAGTTTGAGTCTCTAAATTATAAGAAATGCATAGTGTTAATATCGTAAATTGACTTTATTAATCTGTGAAAAATACACGTAGTTTGGATTAACGAGGTTCGACTGTAATTAATTGGCACTAATTTAAATGCTACGAACTCGATCACATCGAAGACTCTTCCGGTTACCCTCGGGATTTACAGGTCAGGGCAATATGTATCTTTCGAAAGGCCATTACGTCATCACACTCGGAAGCTCCTCGGGATGTATGTCAAACCAAACATTTAACTGCGTTCGCGTGCAAAGAAACATTGTTAGGCGCACAAGAATTGCAGTAAATTTCGTCCAATCACTTCCCTGGCAGTGCCCATTGTCATGTCACTTATTAATCCACAGATGATCGCGTAGTTCAGGAAAGATTCGATGGTGGAAACTCGCTCACGCAAGCGCACACCATCTTTGGTAAATACGGAACCTGTTCGGTCAAAGCGCATAAAGGTGACTATCACATGACGTTAAGGGAATATCAAGCAGGTGCTAGGTGAACATGATACAGAGAAAAATGCGATGCAATACTTATACTAAAAAAGCTACCCTTTTTCAGAAACGCAGCGCAACCCAAATAGTAGCCAGGGCAAAGTCTGATGCAATATCAGTCAACCTCCAGACCCAGGAGGTTCTGAACAAGGCAAAAAAAAGCAGTGCAGGAGCGTTTGCTGAGCCACAGCCATCATATGAACAATTGCACCAGAATTTGGTAAAATTGTCGTCAAATAAACGTGCAGCTATATCAACGAAATATTTTCGAGTAGAAGAATATGAAGACGACGATGTTTTAATGGGAATTACTGTGCCTGCTGTGCGTTCTATATCAAAAGACATGGGATTCTTTGATTACCCTCTTCTTAAGCAGCTTATCCTATCTAAATATCACGAAGAAAGATTACTAGCATTAGTTGACATTGTAAATAGATACAAGATCATGCAAAGTGTTGGGAACGATGACGAGAAAGAGAGCATCTTCCATTTCTACGTTAACGACATGCGGAATGGTGTTAATAACTGGGATCTCGTGGGTAAGGGCGATAGATTCTATTTGGAAGGGACAAAGAATAGAGCAAAATACGATTGTCTACTAATTTTATTCTAGATACTTCCGCTAAACAGATTGTTGGAGCGTATCTGCATGAAAAGCCTGAACTGAAGCAGCATTGGTTGTACGACAATTTTGCCAAGTCTGATAGGTTATGGGATCGGAGAATTGCCATGGTTGCTACTCATTACTTCATCGCCGAACGCCAATTTGATGACACATTGAGATTGGCCGAGACGTTTCTTAGCGATCCAGAAGACTTGTTGCATAAGGCTACTGGATGGATGCTGAGAGAGATAGGCAAGCAGGTAAAAAGAAAAATGAGACGCAAAAGATTTGTTGATAGAGAGGGCAACGGCTATTTTCGTCAATATACCAATTTCATATTACTTTCCCTACCGCCTTTGTAGGATAAGAAGGTGCTCGTGAAATTTTTAGATAATCATGCAGCAAAGATGCCCCGTGTAATGCTTAGATATAGTATCGAGAAGTTCTCTCCAACGGAGCGTAATAAGTACACCTCAATGAGGAAATGATGACGTTCGAATTTATTGATTACTGTATGACGGTTTCGTTTTCATACAAATGTAATGTGGAATGTCCAAAAGACGTATTTATTTATCAAAAGGCGTTTGTGAGTATCTTATATCGTCGGTATACAAGACAATTGCGCTTGCATCTATAACATTTGTTACAGATGATAATGAAGGTGCTACTGTATCAGCAACTGTAGATATGAATTGAGCATTAATACTAACTCGGCCGTCAATACATGTAGGTCGCATTCTACAATCAAGCGTTTTATCTACTCAATTATCGTCTTCTTCAAAGGTGTATGATGATGATGATGACTCCTAGAGGGTCGTGCATTCTTAATACTAACACAGGGGCTCTTATTCAAACTTCATTCCTATTTTAATATTCGCTTTAACGTCTGAGAACCGAGTACAAGGGTGAGATGAATATCGAAACGTATGTATTCGCGTATATTATTCCCGTTTCGCCGTTATTCCGGAGTTCGCTTATAATACAAACCAAAACTTTGCGAAACCTGTTATGATAAAAGATTATATTGTGGAGAAGTGAATTTGAAACGGCAGAAAGTATTAACTAGTGTTAAGATCAACTGTTTCTGACTACAGTCGCATCCTCTGTGAGTTTTTGCAATTTTTCATCTAGGATGTAGATGTACTTATCCGGAAATTCTGCGTCTTGAGTTGCTCTCTCTGCGAGTCTGTAATAGTTTTTTCATATTTTGCTTTCATGCCTAAATTGGTAAAAATTCGAATAGCTATAACGTTCTGCTTTTGCTGTCGTATCACTGCACAACCTTACGAACCAATAATGTTTTAACTTCAGGATGAATATCGCTTGCTTGTTCTTACATAATCTAGTTTTGAGGCATATTATAGACTGCAGAAGATAATCGATTAAAATTTACTGCTGAACAGGAATTAATGTGACTGTCTTTTTAAAATATAAAATTTGTATCTCGGGGAGGATTCACTTTCTAATAACTGCGTCTTAGACAGTGGTGACTAAAAGGGTATCAGTAAATGCACCATTCGATCCTGGCATAGAATTAGCAAACATTGTTGATGAAGATATTCGTTGTTTTTTTTTTTTCTTTTTCTTTTTTTTTTCCCGGTCTCTTAAACGCGATCATGGTTACGTTCTGCATATGCATCAAACATATTGTAGCACTGTATCATAAGCTTTTATTACTTGATATTACCAAATAATGATGTCCCACTGAATTTAGGTGCTTGACTTTGTCTTTGTCACCAAATTGAGTTTTGCAGGTTGTGAGACAAGATTTATGCAATGGCAAAATAGGGAAGTAGTCTCATAACCTTGGTGTTTTTCATATTCAGTAGTATATTTGTACTAGAGAATCCATTATATACAGTCTTTTCTGATGAGTTTTCAGAATATTTGGACAGGTAGATTTGATGTTCAGTTGCCTGTGGCTCTTCAGAACCGAATTCCACAGGTTGAAAATTGCTGTATAAATAGTACTTTAAATTCGCGATCTGCAATTGAATTTTTCATTGTCTGCTGGTCTTTGTCTTTCTAGATGTTCTGTAAGCATTGTTCCTTATAACTTGATCTCATGCTATTGCATTTTTAAAGATCTCATCATGCTGTCCTTAGAACAAAAAAATAATTGAATTGAATCTTTATTAAATGAATCATTACCTGTAATCCTTATTTAACATTAAAAACTAAGTTCTTGGAGGGAGAACAAAAAGAATTACGCGAAGAAGCCAAAATCAGAGAAAAGTCATTTAGTTATTATTATAAAGTAGACAATGGATTAATTAAAACAATAAAGTATATACTCGGCTTTTTTATGTACAATTTTGTCAATTAATTCTGAATTCTGAGTATGATAATTATATACATCGTTGAATAAATCGTATGGAAGTACGCGGTATATGCAGCCAACTTTTGAATGAAATAGTCTTCAGTTTTCAAAAAAAGTCGTTATTGAGGAATTGTCGTTTTATTCAGCTGTCGTTATAACCAGGGTCACTTGCAGTACATCCGTCCTGTAAAATAAATGGGCAAAGAAACAAACTTATTATTTCCACATTCTGTATATTATATGGGGCAGACTGCAACAAAACCAGACAAAGTGAACATTTGATTATGTGACATAAATGAGAGGCTGATTATGGTGTGACTGTAAAATTGATCAGGGTGACTGTTGACGTTTTGCCTTGTTAATTTTAATGCTCCCTTTATCATACCAGAATGTGAGGAATATAAATCATAACAGGAGTAATATAGGATTATCCCTATATAAAAAATATTAATATTTTACATTAAATCCACCATGGAACCCAAAAATTACAGTACTATTCGAAGTATTTTAAAAAAAGCTCAAGGAGAGAAAATTGCGCCTTATGTTTTTAAAATCAATAATACCCAAACTCTCCAGCAATATCTAGATCAAGAAAAAATCACTTATGAAATTTATCAAGAAGAAAGAAAAATAAAAACCAATAATAATAAACGAATATTAACACCAACTTATGATGAACCAAGAAAGAAACGAAAATTAGAAACATAAAACAAATAGCTGCTTTCTTGTTACTGTTTGATTATTATTAATAAAGATGTCAACTCTGGGACGGGTTCTTTGTCAACAATGAGGGACATATTCATCAACTTCTATTTTACCAGCAAACCAATCCAAATGATGACGACGCCTTTGTTCATTTGCATCAAATATCAGACTGTTTGATCGACAAATCAACTGTTTTAGTTTCAAATCTGTAACTGTTAACGTAATATTTTTAATATTATACACAATCTGATCGGCACCTGATGAATTTGGACAACCTCCCTTCTTCGGCCTCTCTGTTCAAGAACTCCCACATTGAGGTATTGAGAGTGAGAGTCAACCCAGCATCTGCTGAGAGCGATGTTATACCAACAGTTGAAGGTACGAGCTATGTTATATTAGTAGTCCTCTCAGCGAACATAAACTAAATAATTTTCAGACACAAGTATTCCAGAAGAGTATGTTCTTCCTGATGTCACACATGAAGTAATTGGAAATCCACTGTTCGACGTTGAAAATATTGATGAAATTACGAATAAGAAAGTTCGCACTTTTTTTGCGAAGTTGCATGAGGTTGTGATGAATGGCATGCTGGTGGTGGGCACAGCTGAAACACTCACTGATACGCTTGTGGATGATCTACTGCGCATCGTTGAGCTGAATGACTGGCCCTTAAGTGTCAGGTCAGTGTCTGCGTTTGTGTCCTGTTTTGACAAATAGACGAATGCAATGGTTCTAAAGTTACATTTTTAAAATCCAGAAATCATCCCTTATGTATATTAGACATTGCAGATTCCCGTGTATCATCGGACCCTGAATTTGTAGTAAAGAAAAGAAAAATCTTTGTTGTGGTAGTCGAGGTATGTGGGTTTTGACCGCTTGAACAAAAGTTATTTTCGTCATCTCAAGCAACTTTCTTACAGGACAAACATTTGAGCAACGTCAGACCAAACAATGGATTTGGAGAATCCCAGATCAGTGTGGAGATTCTCGCTTGTGCAAATGAGAATATGCGTGAAGAGAAATATCAATATCGGGATCAGACGTTATGGGCCATTCGCACAATTTCTCATTATGTTACGTTTTATAAGGCCGATATTCCTGCCGCGTATTGGAGAGAACTTGAAGATGGCGTGCCACATAGTCAGTCTGTTGAGGTTCAAAGATGGCCGCGTGAGAATACTTTGTCGTCCGGTTTCAATATCGCTCAACCGGCCGGAAGACGAGCCGTGTTGAAAGCTTTAGTCCAAATTCGGGAATCACTTTTGCAGGGAGAAAACGACGATGACTGAATAGCTATCTGATAGCTTCGTTTTTCTGTTTGTCGCTGGTTTTACATTCATTAACCCCTTTTTATTCCCTATATTGTCCCCCACCTAGGAGAGCTTTAGATAAATTGCGGAAAGGCAGAGGGAATTAGTTCCGAATGAAGAAGAGTGGTTGGTAGCGTGATGGAGTTATTTAGGGACAATTAATTGCTGTCTTTTTATGTAAAAATATGCAATTTGCATTTCTCGACGAGATAAGATTACAATCTGTTGTAATGAACAAAAAACATGTCATTTCATGTGAAACCAATTATTAATTTGGTTTTTTTACAGTGAAAACATGAATTAAAGAGCATGATAATAACCACAAACTAATAAAAATTATATATAAGAGTACCCGTATATGAAAGATTATAATTATAATGGTTCTACTGAATATGAAAAAGCCATATGCTTCCCAGAGATAGGTTGCAAATGTGGTTGCTCAAAAAAGATTCCGAGAGAAAAGTTTGCTGAGTTACGTGAAGCGTTTCAAGCTCTCTCTAGATCCGAACAAGATATATTTTTAATGGCCCAGTTGAAAGCAATGAATGGTGGAGAAATAACTGCCAGTCGACGTCTTAAAAAGAAAACGCGTGCTAATAAGCGAACGTTTTATTATTGAGATCGCAATACGCCTCTTTGTCAGAAAACGTATCTTAATATGCTAGGAATTGGTCGCACTCACTTCGAAAACGTCAGAAATCATTTGGAAACGAATGGTATAATACTGCGTGTTCATGGTAATGTAAAAAAAATGCCGCGATGGAAAACCAAAATAACTATTGATATAACCGTTGTTACCGTTGTGAAGAATTTTCTTGAGAATTACGCTGAAATTCATGGATTACCGAGTCCTGGTAGAAATGTCAATCGCATTACTCAATCGCTTACCCTTTTGCCAGCCGAAACGAGTTACAAATCGGTCTGTCGTGATTTTATTGCAGGCCTCGAAAACGATAGCACGTTGAAATTGTTAAAATATGATGCGTTCCGTAAGTTATGGCACCAATTAACGCCGCCTTATATTCAAATTATGAGTCCAAGAACGGATTTATGTGACACGTGCCAACATTTTCGGAACGGCTTACAATACAATGCTCGCAAGGAAGA